GGGGGATGGGGGAGACAGTGATGGGGGATGGGGTGAGGGGGGAGACAGTGATTGGGGGATGGGGTGGTGGGGGAGCCACAGGTGCTAGCCTACCCCAACCCTTTAGCTAATGCCAACAATAGAGGTTTATCGTGCCCTAAACTCGGGTACCAGGGCTCATTCTTCACAAGTGAGAGAAGTTAATTCTCCACTGCTATTAAGGATCTTAGCTTAGCCTCTTCATTAGTTAAGCTTTGTTTTTGTTAGATAATTTCTGTAACGTATTTTTAGAGTTAAACCCAAAGCAAGCCAAACCACTGCCCTGGAGGCAGTTGGGACTGAGCAGTGGCCCCCGTAGGGAGGGAGCAACCTGCCTCATCTTCTCCTGAAGAGCGACTGCTGGGTGGGGTCACTGAACTCTGGGTTAGGGGCAGAGTTCTCTGACCACTGTACAACCAAGACTCCTTTTTTAAGAGTTTAGATCTACAAACTCAAATCGTAGTTTCTGGTACAATAATTTTTTTTCTGTGACAATGTCGTGTAGCCTGCCTCCTGTAATCAGTAATGAATTTGTAACTCTTATTACTTCTTATGTACTCTCTTTAGGGTTACGATCTTAAAGGGGACATTTAGATACTCTAAATACCTCCTTTAAAAGCCAGCTGTGCTAAGAAGCTTTCCTCCTGGAAGACTGGTTAATTCCTGTGTCTACCAAGTAGACTTGTGGTGATGCCGGAATTAACCAGTTTTCCAGGAGCAAAGCTTCCTAGCTCAGCTAGCTTTGGCCCAAAGAGGGCTGGTTGGTGCTACTGCTTGGAAAGGAATTTGTCCTGGCAAGGCCAAGAGGGCCTCTTCTCCTCAGAGCAGAAGTTAGCTAACCATGCACGGTCCCATGCAGTCCTTGCATTCTGGCCTTTTCTGAGATACTCACAGATACCTCCAAACCTCACCCTAAGAGAGGGACAAATGTTCCTTAAACAGTCATTAGTGGGGGATGGGCCAGGGAAGAGGGAGTAAATCCAAGTCCCCAGGCAAGCTTGTGCCTCCAACGTTATTTCTTTTTTGGTAACACCTGCTCATAAGATACCTTTTCACGAACTCTCTCTGTGTCAGCTTTCCTTTCAGCAACCTGTTGGTCACATCCAAATTTTCACATTCAGTTCACTGTGTGGTATTAGACCTTGAATGGCATTAGGCCTTGAACTCAAATGCAAGGAACTGATTTGATTGTAAGCATGACTGGACTCTGCCAATTGCTAGTCACACTTTCTCCAGAGATGAGGGCCAGAAACAGTGGCTCTTGCAATGCCCCATGGATAGGGGCTGGCAGCATCCAATCTGCCCAGCCACACACTGCAGTCCTGTGGAGGTGTGGGAATGTGTGCGTCTGCACAATCCTGAGAGCGTTGTGGAGGAAGGGAAAGGGGAAGGAAAACAGGATGGGACTTAGCACCTGCAAGTCCATTCTGGGTGGTTTCGTGCATTATCATGTCAACATCATGAGGCTGGTGGATGCTCTCCCACTACCACCATCCAAACTGTCACGCCCCTGATGTCTTTTGCCCCCCCACCCCCCCTGCACCCTTGCCAAGTGGCAGGAGCACCAGTGACACTCTGTGGGCCCGGAGGGTGGAGAGGGAGCCAGGTTAGGGATTGATGTGCTCTGGTTTGGTTTCTCCTGCTCTGGCTTCTCCGTTGTCCCCTACCCTTCACTCCCTCAGAGTCTCTGTCCTGCTTTTCCCTTCTCTTTCTCCTAACCTGTTTCCGATCAGCCTCACCCATCCAGAACTGTGTTTTTAGGGAGAAATGGGCTAACGTGAGCTTCATTATCCGCACTGCTCCTGCACATAGACCCAGTGCCTTGTAGGGCACTGGGTGTCCATCACCACACCAGGAAGGTACAGGAGTGCGGTGGTCCACAGAGCTACTTGGGACAGGAACACTCAGTCTAAGGAGAAGAGACAGCACTTACCTTTGAGTGGGTCCACTGGCAGTGAGCAGACAGCAAGCTGTCACTCGGGGCAGCTTTATGTCTCTTCATGGAGATGTTGAGACTTCATACTGCTTCCTCAGCCCGTGAAAGACACATGCTCTACCAAGCACGCTTCCCACCTCAAATCCTCTGCTCTTCAGCGTCTCTCCACCACAAACAGTTCTCAGAGACCCACAGACCCACTCACTGCTCAGTGGGTTTCAGTGTGCCATCCTGGCATAGAGAGCCAGTGTCATACAGTTATCAGGTTGGAGCGGCCAGGTGGATGGCGAGTACGATGGAGAAGACTGTGACAAAGGCTAGGTCACAGTCTTCTCCCTGACAAAGCCTTGCCAGCCTCCCTGGCTCCCAGGCTTCTGTGGCCTGCAGCTGGTCCCAAGGAGCCAGCATGACCTGGAGACACAGGTGCCAACCGCTCATCACTGGGTGCCCTGAAGGTGTCTCCTGTGGGAGACAGGGCCATGACCCTCACTCTTTAACACATCAGTATGGATGTGGGTGGTTGTTTCCAAAGCCTCCAAGTACTAATCTGACCAGGTCAGCAGAGAGCACGTTAGCATTTGGACCGCTGCATCTTAGAAAGAATGTAAATAATGTTGCATTCGGGCCCCTGGAACCAAATGCCAGACGGATACTTGCAGCTTTGTATTGAGGTACCATGAACAGGTCTTGGTTAAGAGGCTCCACTTGTCCTCTGGGTTGATGTGTTTCCACCTATGGACCATGGCCCAGGTGAGAGGTGGGCACAGGTGGCATGCCCTGAATGCCCCCATCCTGTCGCTCCTGTACCTGCAGGGAGAAGTGGTGCCACATGACTCAGGAGGAGCGTGACGACAGCCTGCGGTTCAATGAGAACATCACCTTTGGACAGCTAGGGTAAGGGCCGCCAGCCCCTCCCAAAGGCACTGCCTAGTTCCCAGTCAGAATTCTGGTAGGAAGTGTTACTGCAGCACCATGGAGATCCTGTGTGGCGCACATGGGTCATGGGGAACAAGGCCACCTCCATGTGCCTCTGACCCAGGAGTCTCAAGTATAAGGAGGTCTCATTCCACCCAGACTTCCTGCGTCAGCTGCCTCTTACAAGGGAATGCGTTGGTGACACATTGTTAGCTGTCACAATGTGTCTGAAACTGATCGGAAGCATTTACTGAATGCGTTTGGTCTCACTTTGGCTCCTAATTAATATAGCCTGCTAGCATACCACCTGGTGGCGGGTGGTGTTCCACTGAGAGTTAGGTAACCAGTTATTTTTATTTGTTGCTAACAATCTCACCCTGAAGGAAAGAGCCTAGATTCCAGGGTCCCCTCTCCCAGGGAGGCAGGCTTATGGGTGTTTTTCTCCCCAGCACGTTCACGCACAACATGCTGGCATTTGGTCTGAGCAAGAAGCTATGCAATGACTTTCTGAAGAAGCAGGCGGTGATCGGCAACCTGGATGAAGGTCAGAGCTTGGGGTGGGGTAGCCGCTGGCATCCCAATGGTTTCTGGTGGCCAGAGGCAGGTGGGTGAGAATATTAGTGACAAGTGTTCTGCATACTGGAATTGCCCACCTTGCTCAGTGGGAAGTGCCTATTTTGACTAGAGATGTGACGTTAGACTGTGTGATTGGTCCTGATTCAATACTTCCTCACTCTTAGCACCAGGCTCCATGGAGTCCCCTCCTAACTGTGGTACTCTTATGTGTCATAGAGCACACCTGCACTCCAAGATCCCCAGACCCTTCTCCTTAGGCACCTCTGGGCAAACTTGAGCCTCCAGCTTCTGCTTAGCAGCCTAGGACCTTCAACCATGCGCACCGCCCAGGGACTCCTCTCTTTCTCTCTGTAAACAGGGTCACTTGTTATTCTATTTGAAAACTGTTTTTACTAGATAAGATTTGCCAAGGGTAGGGTAGGAAGAACTTGCTCCTCGGTGTTCACAAACATATGCATGTGAGTTAGGCTCTGGTCCTAAATGGCTCCCCTTTACTTCTTGAACCACACTGCCTGAAGAACCTCCATGAGGGGAAGAGGAGTCTTGAGGGGTTTTCTAGACTTTCTGGCTTTAGTAACACCAGAGGATCCATTGCTGAGGTCAGCTTCCCAAGCCCACATAAGCTGCACCAAACCAGCTGTCCAGTTGATCCCGACTCATAACAACCCCATACGTGTCAGAGTAGATCTGTACTTCACTATTGCTGTTAAGTGCTACAGAATCAGTTCGGGCTCATAGCAACCCTGCATGGGTTTCCAAAGAGTGGCTGGTGAGCTTGAACTGTTGACCTTGTGGTTCAGACCACACTTGCAGTCCAGCACACTAACCCATAGCGCCGCATCAGGACTCCCATAGGATTAAAAGAAAAATTGTGGTGAACTATGTACACCATTGGCCAATACACCGGTTTCTACGTGTGTGATTTGGTGACTGATTGCGTTCTTCCTGCTGTGTAGTCATACCGTCCTTTTCTGAGCGTGCCTACAGCCAGTCACATGACCTCAGTGCTCAAAACAGAAGTCTCCACCTGCCTCCAACCCCTGGTGACCATTCTTGATCTCTGGTTTCTAGCGTGGGCTTGCGTGGCATAAGTGAGGTCATACAGAACTTGCCTTCTTGTTTTGACTTCCTTGGCTCAGCATGTTTTCCTCTTTTTTTGGCTGAGCATTGTGTGCACGGACCACATTGTGTGCATCCGTTCATCTGTGAATGGACGTTTAGATTGTTGCCACCTTTGTCTATTGTGGAAACTCTTGGGAAAACTGTAGCCGTAAACGCTGTGGTGTACACTTTTGTTGGTGTTCTGCCTGCATGTCTTCTGGATAGATACCTAGAAGTGGGATGTCTCTGGGCTCCAGTTGATGTCCTGCCTCGATCGTGTTGGTCAGTGGGGGCTCTGCATTAATCCAGCATGTTGCTGCTCAGCCCTGCCCCTGATGCATGGCTGATGGGTAGCCGGGGAAGCAGCTGAGGGAGACGCCTGCACTCATAGCTCTTGGGAGACCTTTGGCTTACAGCGGCCTTTGTCAGAAGAACGGGACACGTCTGTGCGCCCCAGCCATCATCCTCCTGAGAAGTAATGCTGTTTTCTCTTCCAGAGCAGTACAAGCTGCTCAGCGAGCACATTGAGCAGATGGCGGCCGAATAGCCCACAAGAGGCTGCCCCATGTCACCGCCATGGAGAACTGAGGGTGCACGCTGCTCTCCTGGGCCCATTGATTAGCTGTCACCCTGATAACCCTGCATGACATCAGCAGCTCGCAGAGCCGCCCTGCTGCCCTACAACTAGACGTTAGAAGAACCTGGTGGCTGCCCTCACTTCGCCCCTCTGCACCCTGTCCACATGCCAGTGTGCCCCTTGGACCATATGACTAATGCCTCAGTGACTGCCTCTGAGTATCTGCTGTGTGAGATGAGGGGCAGGAGGCGAAGGCATGACATGCTACATGGAGAGACCGTGCCAGACAGAGGGCTGGTGACTGTCGGTTATGGCTGAAGACCTGGGACCACCCGCCCCCTTCTGTGTGGGCCATCCTGGTGAATGTGTCGGTTATGGCTGAAGACCTGGGACCACCCGCCCCCTTCTGTGTGGGCCATCCTGGTGAATGTGTCGGTTATGGCTGAAGACCTGGGACCACCCGCCCCCTTCTGTGTGGGCCATCCTGGTGAATGTGTCGGTTATGGCTGAAGATCTGGGACCACCCGCCCCCTTCTATGTGAGCCATCTAATCCACACAGAGCCCAGGGGCAATGCAGAGAGGGTGCTGACAGGAAGCTGATGGAGAGAAATGGGGGCCCAAGGAAGGATGCAGAGGTGGCACCTGCTACAACCAGAGCACAGTGAGAGCCAGAACCAGCCTGGCCCAGCCTGGGGTTCACGGGCATCCTCCCTGGAGGAGCTACAAGACGGTGCCTTTCCTCAAACACGACAGTGCAGCGGTGTATTTCAGAATGGACAGAGAAGTCCGAGCTCGGGGTTACACTTCAGAAACAAGCCTGTGGGAGAGGCGTAGCCGAGCAATTGCCCACAGCGCAGGTGCAGTCCTCTCAGCTGTACGTGAACACCATCGCTGGATTCCACCTGCAGCCCCTGAGGACACAGCTGTGTGTGTGTGTGTGTGTGTGTGTGTATGACCCCATCCTCCGCCCTTTTCCAGACCAGTTGTGGACCACATCCAGGCTGCCAGTAGCAGGCCGACCAGCTCCCCAGCCTGCGCTGCCCCATGTACATACACCCTGTGCCTGCTGCCTGGGATGTTGTCCTCCCTTCCCACACCTCTGTGAGCAGTATGCCATATTCCCTGCCCAGCCAGGGGCTCAGCAGGGGAGAGTGCATGGCTCCCAGGAGCGCCTCTGTTGGGCTTTCGGTGACTTGAGGATGCCTGATCTAGGTATACATGTGTAGAATGCTGCCCACCCACAGAGTGCTGAGAGCTTTGGAAGTGAGGCACTTTTTTACTGAGGTTGCCATGTGTGTATTTCAGCCTCTCTGAGATGCCACTGGACAGCTGTGGTGGTATGCTTCTCAGTTGGGACAGATCTTGGAGGATGGAGTCCCTGTTAGTTGATCCCACTTCCCCAGAATTGTGTTGTCCCCACTGAATGGGTTTTAGAGAAACAGTAAATTAAGTAGTGTCCAGGTCCCTGGTCTGAGATGCCCAAGGCCTCTCTGGCTCCCCTCCCTCCCTGAAGATGTGAGGGCCTGCCGAGCTCTGTCAGAGCCACAGAGCTCCACTTAGCTCAGTTCAAGTAGTTACTGAAATACATTAAGACTTTAAGGTGCCCAGAAGACTTATCTGTGTATATATATGACTTTTGTATATGAGTTTCAATTTGTTCTGATTTCTGAAGCGATAAATGGATTCAGACTCCCTATTCAGGGATGTTAAGAAGTCCCTGATTCCTGATACCCTGGCATGGGCTGGAGCCCTGCGGTGGTGCCACCTTTCAAAGGAAGTTCCGCTTTTCTCCTTTTGCTGTTCCAGGCACTTTAAGGCAACTCCTGATCTTCAGCTATTTTCTTGTTGGTCCATATCGGCCTCTTGCAATACTAATTTAAAGTGGAAGTTTTGTTTTGTTGTTTGCTTTCCCCTCTCCCCTTTTCTTGTTTTTATAGAGCTAGCTCCTACAGGTTGTTGGGACTCTAACCCCTAGAAGTTACCCCCATTTTATTCAGCCCCAGGTTGGAGAGCCAACTCAGAGAACGTAGCCCCCATGATGGGAACAGTGAGGCAGGAAATGCTGTGCTCCCCACAGTGGCTCCGGGAGTGTCTCTGACTGCTGTCACCAGGAGGTGACTTCCATAGAAGGTGGACAGCTTGCTTCCCTCCTCCCTGCAACCTTGTCTCATCACCATGGTCCCCACCAGAACAGCAGTGAAGAGGCCTCTGTGTGCAAGCAGAAAGACCGTGGAAATAGTTCTGTGGTCCATGTCACACCTGTGTGTCCACACAAGGACATAGTGTTATAGGTTAACAGCGCTTCCTGTAAAGGCAGGAACTTCAGATGCAGTGCAGGCATAAGAATGATGAAGGAGGCATCTGACCTCTAATTTCACAGAGGAAGGAGAATCCAGGCCAAGAGCCCAATGCTGATTTCTATCAAGCGCCCAGACATACCTCCTCTCTCCAACGGTTTACTAACTCCTACAGCACTCTCCACTCCACTGATAGGGTTGATAGTTTGTTTCAATGTCCACACACCTCACAGTCGTCTTGTAGTTATAGGGGTTCTTAGGGAAGTAACAAGTTATGTTTCAGGATCAGGAATGACTCAGGATTCCATTCTTCTGTCAAGACAGAGTCTCAGTTTTGCCTGCAGACAGGCCTGTTCCCAGGCCGCGGCCCCTCGGCCCAGCCTCTGCCCTGCTTGGGCAAGTATTACAAAGCTCCTTAGCTCCACCAATAACTGATACTAATTAGAGGAGTGTAGGGGGTGGGGACTGCACCTGGTGACTCTGTGTGTGGGGTTGACACCAAAATGACTGTCTAGAAAACTTTTGTGCATTGGTTCAGCAGAAATTTATGATCTGTTATAAAAATGCCCCTGTTGTCAGTTATAACAACCAAGACCTGTTTCATAAGCCCAGTTTACATGTGTCAGTATACCCACAAAGCTGAAACCTGCTCATTTACCTTTTGAACCTTCGGCTGCACTCTGGTCCGAGCTGTCACTGTTACCCACTTACGGTGACACTCCCAGTCACTGGGTTTTGCCTGCACGCACCACAGGCACCCACTGTTGTTGTAGTTGCTAGTTTTATCAGGTTTTCTGGCGTTTTAGCTACAATCTTTTGGTAAGTAGTATTTGTGAACCTATAGTAATAACTTTTTTTCATAGTAATTAAAGGAAAAGGAGAAAAATCAAAAAAGGCTTCTGCTCACTAATAACGTTGCAACTAGTGTAGTAATTCAATGCAGATTTTACAGAACAACTTTGTTGTTAGTATTCATATCACCTAAAATATTACACTTAGATGTAGTTTATAACTGTATTTAGCACACAGTATTCTAGGAGTAAAGGAACCCTGGTGGTAGTGTAGGATAAGCACTGGACTGCTAACTGCAAGGTTGGTGGTTCATCTCTACCAGCTGCTCTGCAGGAGAAAACTGAGGCCGGCTGCTTCTGTCAAGATTTATAGCATTGAAAGCCCTAATAGGGTCACTGTGAGTCAGAAATGAGTTGATGGCAGTGGATTTGAGTGTTGTTTTTTAAATATTTATGATTAGAAGTGATAATAAACTTACATGTACAACAATTATTGATTATATAACTAATAATAGAGAAATTGACAATTTAAAACATGAAGTGGGGGAAATTTTTAAAAATTTATTTTTGATAAATAAATTTCAAGAAAATATATTTCTTGAAACATGTTGAGAAATATATAACTTAATCTTAAATTCTGTTTTAAAAAGCTTTAGTCTTTTTTCTGATTTTCTTTAGACACATCATTTTTTGGGTGTCCTGATGGGGCACTACTATAGGATAAGATACTGGACTGCAAGGTCGGTGTGAACCGCATGTTTGGCAGTTTAAACCCACAGGGTTGCTGTGAGTCGGAACCGACTCGAGGGCACTTAACAATAACAACATTAATTATGCAAACTCTGGTAGCATAGTGGATTATGAATTGAGCTGCTAATCGTAAGGTCAGCAGTTCTAATTTACCAGCCGCTCTGTGGGAGAAAGACTTCCTGCTCCTGTAATGATTTATAGCCTAGGAAACCCTATACATGGTCGCTATAAGTCAGAACCGACTTCACATAGCATAACCACTAACTGCCAATCCTTTAATGAGTCCTGGTGTGGCACTAGACCATAAGGTCTGTTTGAACCACAAGGTTGGTGGTTCAAACCCACCAGCCACTGCTTGGAAACCCTATACAGGGTCTCTGTGAGTCAGAACTGACTTGACAGTACTTAACAACAAAAATCCTGTAAGGAAGTTCTCTGTGGTGCTGTAGGATAAACACTGGATTGCTAACTGCAAGACTACCAGCTGCTCCTCAGAAACCCTATACAGTAGCTGTGACTTGGAACTGACTCAACGGCACTTAACAACAACACCAACAATCCTTTAATGTGTCTCATGCAGCGATAAAGTTTAAGGTGAAAATTCACATAATTTTGATAAAGAACAGCAATGAGGAACATATGTTATTAATTCAAATTCTATTATTTTCTTACCAAGTTTTTTATTTTAACTATGAAACTATGTGTAAGTGTAAAAACATTTACGCTGTGACTATGTTGTTGTAATTTAAAGGTGTAATTTTCATTTTTGCTAGTTGTTTATGTAGCTACTGATTACCATTACAAGGTATTCTGGGATAAACTTTGGACTACTAACTAGAAGGTCAGTGGTTTAAACCCACCGGCCACTCTCTGGGAGAAAAATGAGGCTGTCTACTTCGGTAAAGATTTCCAGCCTTGGAAACCCCTAAGTGTCCTGTAAGGTCACCATGAGCCAGAACTAACTTGATGGCAGTGCATTTGGCTTTTTGGCTTTGACCACCATTACATTCAGTGACAAGGAACTCTGGTAGCGTAGTGGCAACTAGTCGGGCTGCTAACCTCAAGGTCCGCTGGTTCGAAACTACCAGCGGTTCCGTGGGAGAAAGATGAGACATTCTGTTTCCATAAAGA